TACGCCCCTTAAGTGCGAAACCCCAAATCCCCAAAGCCAGACGTAAGAGAATCGGGAGCCATGAACTTACTAACCCAATCATTTCGGCCCTTAGGGTTTAGGGTTTAGGGTAAGGTTCCTTCCCCTTACAGCCTCTATGCCCTACGCCCCTTAAGTGCGAAACCCCAAATCCCCAAAGCCAGACGTAAGAGAATCGGGAGCCATGAACTTACTAACCCAATCATTTCGGCCCTCTAAGTTTGGTTTGAGTTCATGGGTTAGGGTTCCTGGGTTTAGGGTAAGGTTCCTTCCCCTTACAGCCTCTATGCCCTACGCCCCTTAAGTGCGAAACCCCAAATCCCCAAAGCCAGACGTAAGAGAATCGGGAGCCATGAACTTACTAACCCAATCATTTCGGCCCTCTAAGTTTGGTTTGAGTTCATGGGTTAGGGTTCCTAAACCCTAAACCCTAAACCCTAAACCCTAAACCCTAAACCCTAAGCCCTAAACCCTAAAGCGCCCGAAGCCCGGAACCGTTGTGAGCGTGGGAGGCCCTGGCCACCACCGTCTGCTTCGAGGACACCTGCAATCTGCCCGGCACGGTCGCCAAGATGCGCTCGAAGATGCAGAGCCCCGGCTTAGGGTTTAGGGTTTAGGGTCTAGGGTTTAGGGTTTAGGGTTTAGGGTTTAGGGTTTAGGGTTTAGGGTTTAGGGTTTAGGGTTAGGGTTTAGGGTTTAGGGTTTAGGGTTTCGGGTTTAGGGTTTAGGGTTTAGGGTTTAGGGTTTAGGGTTTAGGGTTTAGGGTTTAGGGTTTAGGGTTCAGGGTTCAGGGTTCAGGGTTCAGGGTTTAGGGTTTAGGCGATTGCTGGGTTGTTAGGAAATCTCAACAAGCTCCCGGGTCCGTCCCCGAAGTAGTCCTTCTCTCGGGCTTGGGAAGTGGGAGCTGCCGCATAAGCCCCAACAAGACCCTAGAAGTCCTTCTGGCCCTTGTGGAGTTCGCGAAAGCCTCAGAGCCCAAACTTAACATTATTATAGGGGCCTTAATAATTGGAGTAGGGTTTGGGGGGGGGGGGTATTGTAGTATATTTATGAAGGGACCATAAGGGAATATTACAAGCGGGTAGGTTAAGTCGTATCTTCTTGTGTAAAGTCGTATCTCGGACGCGGGCACACTGGGGATTCGCGAATTTCAAAGATTGGTCAGAACCCACTTGCGCCCCCAAGCAGAAATCTCATTCACGCTGACAAAAATGTGCTCCCTTCCCAGGCGTGCGGTGACAAGTGCGTGTTTTCCATGTGTGTCGAGAACATGCGCGTGCGGCGCGTGCACATTGGGGGAAGGGCTTCAACCTCTGTCTCTGTGATGCGCGTTTACGCGGGGAAATGCGACTTCGCTCGCAGCCGCGTGTGCGTGTCACTGGGGAGGTGTGACTTCACACGCAAAGATGTGAGTTAACCTAGTCCCTTGTATTCGTATTTCTTCCGACCCGTATATTCTCCGAACCAGGCTGCTGACGGGCACCACGACAAGCCTCCTCTGGATTGGTGAGACGGGCTGGAGCTCTCCGCAGGCCAGGGGGGGAGGGGGGGGGGCAGGGGCGGGAGGCTTTCTTTTTACCCAAGATCAACGCTAACCTCCTAGTTCAACCCTTGATCCCTAAACCCTAAACCCTAAACCCTAAACCCTAAACCCTAAACCCTAAACCCTAAACCCTAAACCCTAAACCCTAAACCCTAACCCCTAAACCCTAAACCCTAAACCCTAAACCCTAAACCCTGCAAGCCCTCGACCTTAAGAACCAGGGACTACAACGCCAGACCGCCCAGGCTCAGACCTTGGCAGGATCGAACCCACGAATGGGCGCCTGCCCCGCCTTCTCCAGCCTCTCTTCCTTCCGCTGCGTGGGCGGCAAGGGTTTAGGAAAGTTTAGGACTGAGGATTCACAGGGTGCAGCTTCGGGGTCTCAGGATCTGGGGTTCAGGGCCTGGGGCTTCAATTCCTGTTTCAGGGTTTTGGGTTTTGGGGCTCAGTCTTCCTCCCTCAGTTCAGCAGTCTGTTTTGGGTTTATAGGGTTCAGGTCTTTATCCAGGGCCCAAGGCCCCGCAAACCCCAAAACCCTGAGCTCCAATCTATCGCAGTCACAGGAATGATGCCAAAAAGCAGCAAAGATCGAACCCAAAAAGCAAGCCCAAAAAGTCTTCCCCTATATCTTGTACTATTAGCACAAGATAGAAAAATATCAAAAATGTCGATGATACACGCGAAGGTCACTACTACAGAAACTTCTTTCTTCGTACAAGATATAAAAATATATCAAAAATATCTATGATACACGCTGAGGTCGCTACTACAACAACTTCTTGAACTGGGATTTGACCTTCATGAGCAGCACCCGTGGTCCGGACCGCGCCCCGGGTTTTCCAGGGTTTTCCAGGGCCGGGGGGGTGGGGGCGGGGCGGGGGAAGGTTCACAGGGTTCATAGGGTTCATAGGGTTTATGGGGTTTATGGGGTTTATAGGATTTATGGGCTTTATGGGGTTTATGGGGTTTATGGGGTTGAGGGTTGGGGCGTCGTTCTCTAACTTTGGGTCCCGTTTTGTTCTTATTGGAGTATGGAGCCTGCTATGTAGGGCACGCTCCGAAATTCGTGCTTGTTTGAGGTTATAGGGTTCGGGGATGAGGGGTAGGGTTTAGGCGTTTAGAGGAAGAAGGTCCAGGGTTTAGGGTTGAGGTTCCTTCAGCAAGCTCAGGCCCTGAAGCCTCGGCCCCTCGGGCCCTGAACCCGTGACCCGAAAAGGACCACGTCTTCTATTTTACGACGCGGGACTCCACCAACTTTGCCGCGGCTTGGACAGTTTGGGCTCTTTCTGGAGCAACGCCGGATGTTAAGGCTTCGGTTAAGCACAAGCAGGTGCACCCGGATCCTTACTGCAATTCAATTCACGATCCCCCATCAACCCGATCAAGACCCTCACGAGGGAGGGGGTCTAAAGGAGGGAATCAGAGTTTTGCTGGGAGCCTCTCACGCCACACGGCCGAGGGCCGAGTTGTGAAGCTGTTATAAGGGGGTTATGAGTTGAGATTCCAAGCCCGCAACAGCACAAAGACCCCCAGCAAGAATCGGCCTTGAGGGGTACTCAGTGTTAGTCACCATGTGCCTTGGTAGCTCGCCCAAAACATAAACCTCCTGAGGGCCCTTGTTTTAAAGGGGTCCCTGCTTCAGACCCTGAACTGGCCCTAAACCCTAAACCGAGGTTGGTGAGCACTTTGGGCTGATATCTGATTGAGCCTTGCTCGCACGCCGGGATTGATTTTGGGATTTGGGTTTTGGAAGCGTAGGTTTAGGTCGAGGCTGGTGGGGTGCGGGGGGGGGGGAGGAAGCTCCCCGTCCCAAATCCGCGGCGCTTTAAGGCTATAGGTTTTGTAGGGTTTAGTCCGACTTGGGATCGAGAGCACTTGCTCGAAGGTTAGTTGTGAGCTGGGGAGTTCCCATCCACAGAAAACACCTGAGATGGGTAAGGGGGCGTAACTTCGGGGTGTTCTCGAAGGACGGTAGAAATGCCGGGCCACGGTTCGACTCAGCCTCTTGCGATTTGGGTGGTTTACGAAAATCGGGGACCCGAAAGTAGACCCCAAAAAGGTAGGATCCCCTCATCATAAGAACCCCAATAAGGTTCCCCTAATATCGTCAACCTCCCATTTTGGGGGAGGGGATTTGAGGGATGTTTGTGTGTGGCCTGCGCCTGCCAGGCGACGCCAAGCGATGCAAGCTTCAGTCGAACAGCTCCCTGGAAGTGTCGACGCTGACTTATGTGTAGGCTTCTGCCATGCTGACCCGATATCTAGTACATAACTTTTGTCTTATCTATATCAGCCATCGTCTTATCTGTATTAGCCTTTGTTCTCTTTATCTGGAGTTCGGGCTTCGCGACCCATGTCTCTGGCGTCTCTTCCCTTCCATCTCGGAAGCCGCACCTGCTGCGTGGGCGGGTGCGGGGCCGCGCCGGTGGGCGCCCTCGTTTTGCGAGCCACGTCTCACCCAGCGCGAAAAGAGCACCTTGAGCCCGAACGTTGCCTCTAAGATGGTGGGAGGGGACCTCGGAAACCTAGAATCTCGAGCCCCCCGGAAGTTTCAGAGACCCCAAGCCTTGGATCCTTGTGGCAGGGGGGATCAACTGCTGTGCGCTGGCGGAGCCCTGCAACGCCAAAACCCAAACCCCAGAGACCTGAACCCTAAAACCCCAAACCCTAAAACCCCCAAACCCGGATCCAAAACCCAAACCCCCCAAACCCCCCAAACCCTAAAAACCGAAACCCCAAACCCTGAAACCCCAAAACCCGGATCCCTGAACCCAAACCCCCCCAAACCCTACTCTCCGACTGCTCGCAGCTGCAGGGGCGCCCCTCAGCTGCAGTCTCCTAAGCCCCAGAAGTTTTGGGGGTTTTGTGTGTTTAGGGTTCAGGGTTCAGGGAACCCTCAACCCCAAGCCATAACCCGGTAGCCCTAAGCCTATAGACCCTGAAACCTTCGCTCTCAACTTTTTCCCGTAGGCCTCCCCGCACTGTTACAGGAGTTCACGCAGCTCGTGGAGCGCACGCTGCAGGCCGCCTGTCCTTCTTGGGTTCGGGGTTTGTTTGGGGTTTAGGGTTTAGGGTTTAGGGTTTAGGGTTTAGGGTTTAGGGTTTAGGGTTTAGGGTTTAGGGTTTAGGGTTTAGGGTTTAGGGTTCAGGGTTCAGGGTTCAGGGTTCAGGGTTCAGGGGTTGAGGATCTAGGATCTACAGGAGGGGTTGGGGCTTAGGGTTCAGGGTTTTGGGCTTGTTTGGGTTTGGAGTCGGGGGGGGGGGGGTGATCTGAATCATGGGCCTCATGAGTCGGACTCTACCAGGAGAGATCTTGAGAAGGGCCGAGAATTGCGATCAAACACCCTAAGCCCTGAACCCGAAGCCCCTTGCGATCAGACCTTACTCGGGTCTATCAAGGAGGGAGGGAGACAGGGAAGATTAACACAGAGATGTTGTGGCTTAGTTGAATGATGAAGGTGTGTTTCGTGCTGCTGGGGCTGCTGCCCTTGTGTAGAGGGCTCCCAAGAGGTGAGGTCCGTCGGATTTAGGTCCAGACCTCGCCGCCCACCTCCAATGGACAGAACCATGCCGGGAGCCCCACGCTCCCCGAAAATTCGGAAAAAATCCTGTCAGATTCCAACTGCCCCCACAGCAACACACGAGCTTGGTTTCTGACATGTGGGGGGGGGGGGGGGGGGCGATTGTAGGCCCCCCCCACAGGAACAGAGAACGTTAGTCCACAACAGACGCCCTCGGGCTCTGATTCTGTTGCAAAACAAGAGAGCGGCAAACACGTTGAAAGCCAGTCTTTCCCGGGTTGGGCTTTCGCGGGGTGTTTCGAGTGGCAGATGACGATGCCCTAGGAGATTGATACAGGGCAACCAGCCCAAACCCTGAAGCCCCTGAATCCTCTTCAACCCTCAACCCCTTGTTAACCCTGAACCCGAAACCCTAACCCCTAAACTCTAAAGCAAATACACGAGGTGGAGCTGTCGCCCGAGGACGGGTCCAGTACTGGCTGTTTGGGAGGAGGCTCCAAGTTTTATCTCCTTGGCCATCAGGGTTGGCATCCGCATGGCGTTTGTAGGGTTGTTAGGGTTTTCGTTTCTTCGGGAATCTCTGCGCTAGGGCTTCTTAGGGTTCACCCCTGTTGCTGCGCTTGATCCTCTTGCTGCCATTCTTGGACTAGTAGGAGATGCTTCGGGTCAGGGACATGATGTCCTCGGAGAGTGGTGGGTCTTGCAGATGTCTGACCCCCCGGTTGAAGACACAACCCTCAGCTGCGGTGGTGTTTTTTGGTTTCCGGTGTTTCTTGCTTTTGCAACCCTTGCAACTCCAGGTGTGAGCTCCTGAATGTGCATTCCCAAAATAGGGGTCCCCCTGACTTCGTCCCCTAACTTACCCCCCCGAAAATTCCATAATCCTTGTTCTCTGGATCCCTTAAAAAGGGTGCCCCTATTTGGCAACCCCCCCCCCCCCCCCCCCCCTCCCCCCCTGAATAGCGTTTTTTGCTGCCCGACTTCTTAGCAGGAGCTGGATGGGTACTGGCAGGACAGGGGGCTTTGACTCGGCAATCATGCTGAGTTTCTATGGGCCCTCATTCGTGCATTGCCCTTCAAAGTTACAGCCCTCCGACCCCTCCCCAAACCATGTACCCCGAACTTCGGGGGTTGTGGGGTGTTGGGGGCTCATTGTGATGCCTTCGGAACGCATGAAATCGTAGCTTCAAACCAGTGTCAGTGGCGTGCGTTTAGCCCTCGTGACCCTTGGGTGATCCCCTAAACCCTTTCCATAAACCCCAAACCCTAAACCCCAAACCCCAAACCCCAAACCCCAGACCCTAAACCCTAAACCCCAAACCTAAACCCTAAACGTAAATCTCTAAACTTTGGGAGGACCTGTGCCCCGGCAATGGGCCCCAGCGAATCAGCTTCGAAGAGCAGCACGGCTACACCCAAGAGGCTTTGAAGGGTAGCCTATATGGGTCTAGGCTTTAGGTTTAGGGTTTAGGGTTTAGGGTTTAGGGTTTAGGGTTTAGGGTTTAGGGTTTAGGGTTTCCGTTTGTTTTTGCAAAGGTGTGGTCAGGCCTGTCCCCTTGCAAAGGTGTGGCTTGGCTTGTCTTGGCTTGGTCTGGCTTGTGAGTTTTCAGAAGCGGGTGTACCTGTTCCTGGCAAATAGTGGGTGACCCGTTTTTGGGAAATGCCCGTGCGTGCTAGGTTTGGGCTCAGGGAGTTTCCGCAGATCGGGGTCCCTTTGTTTGGTGGCCATGTTGGGCATCGACCGAGGATTTGCGGCGATTGTGTGATAGACCCATACACCCCTAAACCCCGACCCCAAACCTCAAACCCTAAAATCTAGCCTTGCAGCCCAAAGCCACAAGCGCAGACAACGCGCGGAGCCAGCACCCTCGCGCTGAGTTTGCCGAGGTGGTTTGGCTGGGTTCGCCGCATCCTCAGTACGAGTTCCCCGGGTTTGGGCGACACTCAAGCAGAGAATGACGAAGATGGCTGAACAAATACCTAAACTTAGGTTTGGGACCTTGGCGTTTAGGGTTCATGTGCGGTTTAGGGTGTTGGACATTTGAGCAGTCATGGTGGAAAGCTTCTCTCAACCCTGAGCCCTTCGACTGCTCTTCCCAATGAGACGTTGTAGGGCCCACGATCACCTAATGAGAAGAGCTGCGAAGCGACGTCCCTTGTCCTACGGTTCCGTTCACTCGATTTCCGCGAAAAGAACTTCAGGAGTTGAGGGCTTAGCGAGAGAGAGTTTAGGTTTCGGGCTTAGTTGGAGGGAGTTGATGGTTCTACTATAAAGAAGTTTACTTCTCATCTTTCTCATTCTTGTATATACATAGTATCCTGATACATATTTGGTTTAGGGTTTCGGGTTTAGGGTTTCGGGTTTCGGGTTTACATATTTTCGAGGTTCTAGGGCCTAGGGTTTTGGGGCGGACTCTGGCCATGTGAGGCCGCAACTACCTTCCATTCCAGGAGCGGCTGAGGGGCTCAGCTCAGGGCTGCCAGGGCCCTCAACCCTAAACCCTAAACCCTAAACCCCCTAAACCCCCTAAACCCCCTAAACCCCCTAAACCCCCTAAACCCCCTAAACCCCCTAAACCCCTTAAACCCCCTCCCCTAAACCCCCTAAACCCTAAACCCTAAGCCCCCCTCCACTCCCTAAATCCCTTAAGCCCGAGTCCTTAATCCCGAGAACCTTCGGGTAGGGTTTAGGGTTTCGGGCACTGGTTTGCCAGACGTCCTCTACTGACTTCCAAGTGACTTGAGACCCGGCCTTGCCTTCGCAACCTCTGTCACTCGAGAGGTACCTCTTGGAGCTTGAGACATACTTCTGCTTTCTGGGAAGTATCGCTCCTCCTATATCTGCCATCTTCCTCCGTTTAAACTTAAACTTAGCTTGGGAACCCCCCCCCCCCCCCCGCCCCGGTGTTCCCCCTGTGCCTCACCCCTAAACCATACACCTCTCCTTCCCTAGGCTGTAGGGCTTAGGGGCCTCTGGCCTTGGGCCTCTTGGGATTTAGAGAGCCTACTTGGGGCCTTAAGGGCCTTGTGGAATGAAAGGAAGGCCGGCTTGAGATGTGAAGTTAAATGGCTTCCTACTGGTGTGGGACCCAATGGGCAGGTAGGTATTTCTCCGTCACTTGACAAGCTGCTTGACTGGTTCATGCTAGAACTTGGGACCCAAACCACAAACCCTTAACCCTGAACCCTAAAGCCTAAGCCCCAAGCCCCCCCAAACCCCCCCAAGCCCCCCAAGCCCCCCAAGCCCCCCAAGCCCCAAGCCCCAAGCCCCAAGCCCCAAGCCCCAAGCCCCAAACCCCAAACCCAAACCTTAAACTCTAAACCCCACTAAGCCTCACCCAAAGAAAAGCGAAGGAGCTCACGGTCGAGGCGCCCGTCCCCGAAAGCTACGAGCTCATCACGAGCCAAGGGCCAAGCTGCTTCCGAGTGCTGGTTGGGGCTTTTTTTTTTGCGCGTTTTGGTGGGTTTAGGGGTGGGTTTGGGTGTTTCGGGGTTTGGCGGGTTTAAGGGGAGTAGGGGGTTTAAAGGGGTTTAAAGGGGTTTAAAGGGGTTTAAAGAGGTTTAAAGGGGTTTAAAGGGGTTTAAGGGGTTTAGGGTTCGGGGTTCAAGGTTCAGGGCATTTCGCGAAAGCTCCCTCTGTGACGCTAAAACTGCTAAACCTCATGCTCTTTCCGAGCACTTAGGTTCAGCCCTACTCTAGACCAAGCGTTAAAGGGCTCATTGTGGAAAAGGCCCAAATAACCCTGGGTTGGTTCCAGTCAGGGTTGCATTCGTTGCGCCATCGGCTTCGAGATCCCGCCCGAGACCCTAGAACCCGGTGCATGAGCCCTCTTAAACCTTAAACCCTATATTGCCCTAATCCCCAAACCCTATAAACCCAAGTCCCCAGACCCTAAACCCTATTCGCACTCCCCCAGTGCCCCCAAAGTTCCGAAGGCGCGGTGGGCGTCGCTTTGGCCATCTACGTGCTGGGATGCGAGCTCAGACTCGAGGGAGCGGACGGGGTGAGGGTGTGGTTGAGGCTTGGGGTGTTTAGGGCCTGTTAGGTTTAGGGGTTGTACGCTTCAGCTCCAAAATTCCTGGACTTGAAGCCCTGAAGCCTTCGTCTCAAAGGGCCCCGCAGCCTCACACGAGCAGGTTACCGGGCTTGGGTAGGGCATGTTGCCCAGGACTCAGCGTGGGCCTCTTTCTTTCTCTTTGTTCTTTCTTTTCTATGTTTGTTGGACCTCAGCGTTCCTGTACCCCTCTCTGAAATGACTGAGAAATACGAAAGGCTGAGTGAGTTTTTATTTCCATTGTTTTTCGGGGGGAGGGGGTTCTGCAGCCCTCCCCCTACTCGGAACCCCAGTTCAAATTCGACTTGCGAGCCCAACTTAAGAGCCTTGAACCTTCCCACTCGGGAACCCTAAACCCTATGTGTGAATTTCCCAAATTAGTAGTGCCCTATAATATACCCCAAAGTACTATAATCCTTACGTTTACAACCCCCAAAAAGGTACCCCCTATTTTCGGAAACCCCTTTATCCGGTACCCGAGGTCAGTTCGATGCCGTTGCTTCAAACTTTCGTGGGCTTTCTGGCACGCCGCTGACGCTCTGGGCACCACCGCTAGGCCCCCTCAGGGTTTGGGGTCCAAAGGGTTTAGGGTTTTGCCGTTTGTCCTAAGCCTGATAGTATATATCTTCGAAAAACCCGCAGGTGAAGCCTCTGCACCTAGAAAAATAGCCTGCAAGAACCGAATGGAGAAAACCTAACGCCTTCCAACCCAAGCCCCTGAACCCCAAACCCTAAAATCCCAAGCCCTAAGACCTCAAACCCCAAGCCTCCGAAACCCCAGGCCCCAGAAACGCGGAAGCCCAAGCCCTATAAACCCTGAACCCCATGCCCCAATCCCGAGACCCCTTGCAAGCACACTAAACGCTAGACCCTAAACCCTAAACCCCAAACCCCAAACCCCAAACCCTAAACCCCAAACCCTAAACCCTAAACCCCAAACCCTAAACCCTAAACCCTAAACCCCTTAGCAACCCTTTCTCCCCCTGGAGGCTCCGTGGTCGTGCTCCTCTTCGGCCCTGGGCTGCAGGGCCGGCGCGGGGCAATCAGCGCCATGCTTTGCAAGAAGCTGTTCTTTTTGGAGGGTTAGGGTTTAGGGTGTAGGGCGTAGGAGTAAGGGTTTAGGGGCCGAAGGGGAGGCCTTAGGGGACTCTTTTTGTTGGGGAAGATTTGGGGGTTTTAGGCCTTTAGAGGGTTAAGTAAGAGTGTTTTGTGCAAACGGTGCGTTTGGGGCCTGGTGAGGGCGTCTGGTTGCTTTGCCACGCCTTCAAGTTTGAGATTCAGATTTCAGATTGACGTAGGTGAAGTCTGTCAGGCGACATGGAGGCCGTTCGCACTGTGCTGGTTGCCTGCGTCGGCTGCGCTACCTGTGTGCCCTGGGCAGGGAAGAAGTGCGGCTAAGGGTTCAGGGTTTATGGTTTAGGGTGAAGAGGTCGAAGCCACGCCCGAAAACCCGTCCGAATTCCAATCCCGCAGAACCTGTGAAATCTTGAACCCTAAGCCTTAAACACTTGAACCCGAAATCCAAACCCTAAACATCCTAAACCCCACATACCGGAATCCCAAAACCCCAAGCCCTAAACCCTTGAACCACTACAGCCTCAAACCCCCTACACCCTTGAACCCCTAAACACCTGACTCCCGGACACCCCGGAAGCCCGAAACCCTGCTAGAGGGTTTAAGGGTTTGAGTGGTGTTTTGGGGTTTTGGAGCTTTAGTGGTTGAGTGGTATTGGGGTTTAGTGGTTTTCGGCTTTTGGGGGTTGGGCGGTTTAGGGCTTTAGGGCTTAGGGGTTTCGTTCTCCGCGCAGCACTGGAGGCCATGCTCTCCATCTACAGCTTCGGCGCCGAACAGCCCCTCGGCTCTTCAGTGGAGCAATTTTCTGGCTCACTGCATGGAATAGATCCTCCTCCCTGAGCCCTAAACCCTATAACTTATAGGCTATAAGTGCTAAACCCTCAGGTTCGTTTTTCCTTGAACCCTAAACCCTAAACCCTAAACCCTAAACCCTAAACCCTAAACCCTAAACCCTAAACCCTAAACCCTAAACCCTAAACCCTAAACCCTAAACCCTAAACCCTAAACCCTAAACCCTAAACCCTAAACCCTAAACCCTAACCCAAAACCCTAAACCCTAAACCCAAAACCCTAAACCCTAAACCCTAAACCCCAAACCCCAAAAAACCTGGGGAACCCGAGGCCCGCGTTGACGCGGGCGGCCGCCGCCAGCGGCTCGCTCCTGTGGATGCGCGCCACGCGGTGCCTTGGCCTCTACTGTGGAGTCCTACCCCTAAACCCTAAACCCTAAACCCTAAACCCTAAACCCTAAACCCTAAACCCTAAACCCTAAACCCTAAACCCTAAACCCTACAGCATCAAACCCTGAACCCTAAAAGCATCAAAACCCCAAACCCTGTGCGCCTCAATCTCTAGTTTAAGCTCAAGAAACCCCTTAAAGAACCTCAGAAGCTGTGCCCCCTAAACCCCAACAAAACAATTAAATGAAACCGAAGACCCGAAAAAAACCCGAAAATCTCGAAGAAAACCCTAACCCCCCCCCCCCCCCCAAAAAAAAAAAAAAAAAAAAACAAAAACAATAAAATCCAATAAACAGAAACCCATTATAAAAAAGAAAAGAAAAGCCCTAAAATCCCAAGACCCTAAAAGCCCTAGGAAGCCTTAACCCCAGGAGCCTCTTCGCCCCTGCGGGGGCCTTTGCCACCCTGGCCGTCGACGAGGCTTTGCCCCGGCTCCCACTGGTGCGGGACGCCCGGGCGCGCACTTGGAGGGGAGGTTTAGGGTTTAGGGTTTAGGGTTTAGGGTTTAGGGTTTAGGGTTTAGGGTTTAGGGTTTGAGGTTAGGGGTTAGGGGTTCGGGTTTAGGGTTTATGGGGCTTAGGGTGTTTGCGGTTTTTTCGGGCTTAGGGTCTAGAACATCTGTGCATATACATGTTGAAGCCCTACACCCCATCATATGAGCCCAGGATGTGAACCCTGGAACCCCCAAAAGCCAGACCTGAGGACTGGCTTTGGGTCGCTGAGGGCGTGCAGCTCATCGTAGTTCCGGCAATTGCCGCTCTGCTTCCCCCTTTGAGCTCTCAGGTTAAACGGTTCATGTGGGGTCTAAGGGGGGTTTAGGGTTTAGGGTTTAGGGTTTAGGGTTTAGGGTTTAGGGTTTAAAGGTTCAGGGTTTAGGGTTTAGGTTTCAGGGTTTAGGGTTCCTCTGAGGTTCATGGGGCAGAGATCAACCCTAGTAACGGCAAACCGCAATTCCGAATTCCGTCAGGGACTGAAACGTATGAAGCTCAAACCTACATTGTGTGAGGCTTTCAGGTTGCCAAGGGTACATGCGCGGCAGGGCCTGGCTGGTTTCAGTATGGCTCACCCTACCAAGGCCCTAAACCCCCCCCCTAGAGCAGCAGCCCCTGACAAGGCCCTAAAGCCCCTAAAGCCCCTAAACCTATAAGCGGACCGAGGCTCCCAAAAACCAAGAAGCCCAACTCCCCAAACCCTACAACCCCGAAGCCCCAAAACCACCCTAAACCCTAAACCCTAAACCCTAAACCCTAAACCCTAAACCCTAAACCCTAAACCCTAAACCCTAAACCCTAAACCCTAAACCCTAAACCCTAAACCCTAAACCCTAAACCCTAAACCCTAAACCTAACCCTAAACCCTAAACCCTAAACCCTAAACCCTAAACCCTAAACCCTAAACCCTAAACCCTAAACCCTAAACCCTAAACCCTAAACCCTAAACCCAAACCCTAAACCCTCAACCCTAAACCCTAAACCCTAAACCCTAAACCCCCGGGAGTCAGGTCGGATCCCTCTTCCTCTTCGCGGCGCAGTCGGCGGCCGTTTTCCTAAGGAGCAAGTTCGCGGCTCAGGAGGCGCTGTCCATTCAGGAGCGAGCTGGGACTCAACAAGGATGGTGGGGGTTTTTGGGGGTTCTGCTGATTGCGTACGCCTACCCTCTTGCGGTTTTGGGCTCCCTCATATAGCCACCACCAAAGAGGGTGTTTGGGATTCAGGTTCGAAGTTGAGAAGGGAGGGCGCCTCGTAGATTTGTTGAGGCTTTTGCCCCAAACCTTCCACTAAGACATGTGGATCCTTCAACATCTTCTCTCCCCACAGGGGGGAGGAATCAATACCTTGGATCATGAGGTAGACGCTGCTACCGGTAGGTCATGGATGAGTTCGTATTTTTCCATAGGATCTTCTTTCCTTGCTGCGAGCTTTCCGTTGCGCAGAAGCCTTCAAGAATTAGTGAGCCACGCGCGTGTTTTGTAGGGTCTAAACCACCGGCCCAGCACTGAAGGCTCCTGAAAGCATTCTACACTCCAGCTTGCTGGGGGTTGCTTGCATGGAGCATTTGGAACACTTGGGTCTCAGCTTGCCCGGGTCATTTTCTGTTCTCTCGCTTGTGCCTTTCTAGACGTGGGCTTTTGATGCTTCTTGCCTGCAGCGATGACTGTTCTTAGCCCCCCCCCCCCCACACATCAAACCTCCCCCCGTCCCCCACAATGCTGCAGTACCTCCAAACCCTACTGTTGAAAACAAGTCCTGGTTTTTGGTCTAGGTTTTAGGCTTGGGATGTTCCCCCCTACGCTAGCAGTCCTTAATAGGGATTCTAACAGGGGGCACGATAATCCCTATTAAGGACTGTTAGTATTAGGGGGAACATCCCAAGGGTAGGGTGGAGAGTCATGAATATCGTGTTGGTTTTGTGGCCTTCAGCAGAGCTAGGACACCTGGCTGGTGGGCGAGCTCCGCTCCACGTTCCCTGCGCTGCCGCCACCCGCCGTCGGGGAATGGGGGTTTGGGGTTTTGGGGGTTAGGGCTTAGGGTTTCGGGTTTACGTAGGGATTAGGGTTTGAGGCTACTAACTTAACCCGCAGACTCCAAAACCCTAGAGGTTCGGGAGTCCCGGCAAGTTCATGATTCTCAGGAAGCGAGATCTCTCCAAGCTCCTCAGAGAAGCCGAGGAGGCAGGCTCTTTCTTGCGTGTTTGTTCAAGCCAGACTGGGTTTCGGGTGTCGAGTTCCCGCTAGAAGATCTTGAACTTGTTTTCTGTGGGGTGAAGCCCGATGCTCTGAACCCGAAGCAGCCCTTATAAACACCCTGGACGCACTTGGTTCAGACTGTGGGCAGTAGAACGCCACCCTGACCGACTCTGTCCCAAGGCCTGGATGAGGATGTGGTTTCCTTCTTCTGGAAACTTCTTCAAGGGAATCAGCAGCCGCAAAGAAACGGGTGGCGAAGTAGCTGCTTCGCAGGTATTCTACGATCCCAGAGCCCTTCTGACCGAGCAGGGTGAGGCGCGCATCCCCAAAACCCCTAGCCCTGAACCCAAACGCTAAACCCCTTCCCTCCCCCCCAAAGCAAGAACTGTGAAAAATCTCCTGGGCTTCGGGTCGTGAGGCTTCCAAAATACACCAACCCTTAATCGATAATAGAACCTTGAGCCAAAGAGTCCCGTCCAGGGTTTCATTCTTCCACCCAAGAGAAGCCTACTCGTACACCAAACTATCGGAGGCCATCCCTTTTTGCTGCTGTCGAGTAAACCCTCATAAGCCACCCTTTGAAGAGGCCTCATACCCCAAAGGGAATAGAATCCTCTTGAAGGAACCCCCAAAACGGGGTACCCCCCTATTTTCGGACACCCCCCCATTTGGGGCCTTAGGTCAACCCCTACCTTTGGCTCGTGGTGTCCGGGAGCTTGAGTGTGGAGGTGAGTGGCCAGGCGCTCCGGGAGCGGGGGGAAGCTCTCCTTGGGGTTGAAAGGCCCTGAGCCCTAGCCCTTTCCCCCCTCCCCCCCCCGCCTTCAAATTTCTCAAATGGTATTCGCCTGGACTTATCCGTATAGGGTTTTGGGGTCTGGGTCTAGGGTTCAGGGTTTAGGGGTTTGGGGTCTAGGATTCAGGGTTTAGGGTTTTGGGGTTTAGGGTCTAGGGTTCAGGGTTTAGGTCCAGGGTTTAGGTCTTATAGGGTTTAGGGTTCAGGAATTTAGGGTTTAGAAAGGGTCTAGGGTTCAGGGTTTTTGGGTTTAGATCCTTGCGGGGCTGTTGGAAGTGAGCCACTGCGTATGTCGGCGAAGAAAGGCCACGTCACATTTGCAGCCGCTCTGTTTGTCCAACAGTGCCCCAAGATAGCAGCACAGTTCTGCTTTGTTCTGATGCCAATCGAGTTAAGGGTTTGGGGTTTATGGTTTAGGGTTTATGGCCTAGGGTTTCGAGTCTAGGCGTGCAGATGAAACATGCTTTTGAGAGGAAGAAACATTCATGAGTGAGCAATGCAAACCGACCTATAGTATCGCCAGGGGCGTAGACGTGGGTATCGCCAGGCTACTTCGACTTCAGAGCATCATTGAAGGAACGCGACGAGTGATCTTGATCCCCAAAAAGTAAGTCTTCCAGAATCTGCCCATGCCACCGATAGGCGTGACGTCGGAGACACACCTGGAGGAGGTGCCGGCAAACTACCGGTGCAATCTGACGGACCTAGCAAGTGCGAAATGTATAAGTTGCCGGTATCCAAACTGCCAACACTTCGGACCAGCCCACAAGAAGTATTTCTGCCGGAGTTGCATCAGGCAAGCTGCCTGCGAGGCATGTGACACCCCTTTCGACTTGGACCTGGCAGTGTCGGTGCCTTCGCGCGTCATTTCCTCGACCTACGTTTCAACAGAGCCGACTTCCTTAGAAACCGCCTCGGAGTTCGCAGCAGATCTGGACTGTGAACACCAGAAGGTGAATCGCGCGAGAGACCTGGAGCACTATTGCTTTCAGCGTGGTTCGGAGGATCTGCATGGACGTCCGGATGACACAGGGAGGTTTTACTGTTCCTACTGCTGTGGGACTCATGCCCTCATCGGCCCTGGGCGTGACATCCGTGCAGTAGGTTGAACCGAGTTGAACCCTATCCCTAGCGGCCCTGACCCTAAGCCGGGCTTTTGGGTCCTGGCAACAAGAGGCAGTGCAAGGACCTTGGGCCTTAAACTTCTCGGGGTGTTTTTGCAGAATTGTAGCAGGATCCAATCCGTGGGCCGCAGAACTGAGCCCTAACCCTAAACCCTAAACCCTAAACCCTAAACCCTAAACCCTAAACCCTAAACCCTAAACCCTAAACCCTAAACCCTAAACCCTAAACCCTGCAAGCCCCCTCCTTCGGAGACCGGGCGCGGAGGTGGCCTCCACCCTAGAGCGCAAAGCCATCATCGGCGAGGTGACCTTCTTGGACCCCAAGGTGCCGGGTTTAGGGTTTAGGGCTTAGGGTTTAGGGTTTAGGGTTTAGGGTTTAGGGTTTAGGGTGCCCCGTGAACGGGCCGGAGGGGAGAGGGCTTGAGGGTGGATGCCGAGGTTTAGGGTTAGGTTGAGGGTTGTTGAGTTAAGGGCTTTTGACGTAGGAGTTTAGGTTTTGAGAGGCGGACATTGGGGGGGGCGAAGGTTGGGGGCGTTTGGGGTTTCCAAACAAACCCTAATTAGTCTCCCTAAACCCCGAACCCTAAACCCCAAACCCTAAACCCCAAACCCGAAACCCTAAACCCGAAATCCCAAACCCTAAACCCTACATCCTAAACCGTAAACCGGCCCTAAACCCAACACCCTAAACCCTTCGAAGGATAAGCTCGCGACAGCGACCGTCTACGCCAACCCTGGGGGGGCTCGAACGCTACGCTGGTCCCAGGACCCTCGATGGGGTGAGGTTCAGGGTTCAGGGTTCAGGGTTCAGGGTTTAGGGTTCAGGGTTTAGGGTTCAGGGTTTGGGGCGTTCAGGGTTCAGGATTATTTTTGGGGAGGTCGGGGTTTCGGGTTCAGGGTTATTTCTTTTTTTAAGGGCGTTTACAGCTTCGAGGATCACGTGAGGTTGCTCGTATCAGGAGGATAGGGAAGACACTCGAAAAAGACAAGGGGGCTCTACCCAAAAAAACCCTAACAACCCCGAAATCCCAAAGCTCTCTAGACCACCTAAACGGCCCAAGAAGCCCTGGCGGCCGCGAAAACCCAAAAAAACCCAAAAAGCCCTGGATGCCCCGAAACGCCCAAGAGCCCCAAACTTCGGCTGTCTCCAAAGGCCCTAAAATTCACAAACTAAACCCTACCAAAACCTTCAAGCCCGAAACCCTAAACCCTAAACCCTAAGCCCGAAACCCTAAACCCGAAACCCTAAACCCCAAATCCCAAACCCTAAACCCTAAACCCTAAACCCTAAACCCTAAACCCTAAACCCTAAACCCTAAACCCTACGTTGGCTCCAAAAGGATCGGCTCCGGGAGTTCTGCGAGGAAGAGTCCTTGCTCGGCGAGAAGGTCATGGCCGCCATCTCGGAGGAGCCTCGGAGGGGCAGATTTTTCAAGGGTTCTGTGTGTTTGGTATTGGTGTGGTTGTTTGGGGTTTAGGGTTTAGGGTTTAGGGTTTAGGGTTTAGGGTTTGGGATTTGGGGTTTAGGGTTTCGGGTTTCGGGTTTAGGGTTTGATTTGCCCCCAGTCTTTGCTTAGATTGCGTAAAGTTAGAGCAGAAGAGTTCAGAAGATTCTTGGAGGTTTTCTCGGGCTTCTTCCAACCCAGGCCAACACGAAGCGCGGCACCCATCAGACAAATCCTGAATCGGTAACCCTAAATCAATTGCATGACACGAATCATGGAACAAGAGGCCCTGGCTTCTGTTAATTGGAGCACCGGCTTTGGCACACGCCAAAAGGGCAAGAGGGCTGGATGTCAAGCTATTGAAGCAAGCTGCCCAACCACCACAGGAGCTCATCGAGAAGATGGTCCGCGGCCGGGGTGCGGGCCGGCGATCGCCAGAGGAGTCGGTGAGACTCCTGGCACAGCGCCTGGGCTCGTCAGGACTAGGTGAGGGTTTAATTGTGCAGGGAAGGTTCAGGGTTTAGGGTTGAGGGTTGAGGGTGTAGGGACAAAGAGGTTCAAAGGGGAATTTTTGGTGTTTTTCAGGAATGAAAAGGGTTTTGAGGCTTGAAAGGGTTTAGGCTGCGACAGGTTTTTGAGGATTTAAAGGGCAAGGTAGAGCGGGATTTTGTGGCTTAACGGAGCGTTGAGCGCTCAGGGTGCAAAGGGAACAACGAAGTGCGGATCCGTGTGGTGGAGGGTCTTGCTTCAACGCTTCGGGGTGCGGATTGGGGTGAAGCCCAGATTTTCTTGCAAGGATTGTTTGAGGGCGAAGGGATCCCCTTGTCAAGAACATACAGAACCACGAGGATACCTTGCTCTGAGATAGCTTGGAGGTGGACAGCGGTCCCGAAACCCCCTCCAACCGCCCCAGCCTAAACCCGAAACCCCAAACTTACCTCAACCCCCCCCCCTCCCCGAAAAAATGAAATGAATAAATAAAAACGACCTCCCTTGAGCCCTGAACATCAAATTCTCCGAAGGCTGCGCAAGGCCTTCCCTCAGCTTGGCATGGCCGAGGCCGGCGTGGGCGGCTGCCCCATAGGTTCAGGGTTTTGGGTTCAGGGTTTCTAAGCCAACCAGAAATTCGAAAATTTTGAAAATTTAGTTGTTTTGTCGCGTCCGCGCGCCAAGGGAAAACGCGTAAACTTTGGGAGCCGCGTTTGGTTGACACATTCATTTAGGGCTTAGGGCTTAGGGCTTCGGGCTTAGGGCTTAGGGCCCCAGACACTGAGCTTTAAGCCCTGAAGCTTTCTCGCTTCTCAGTGGATATATGTCATGCGGAGTAGAGTTCTTCCATGAGAGCTGCAGAACACAGCAGCCGACACGTGGTCTGATCGTTTTGACTGCTGGGTTTAGGGTTTAGGTTAGGGTATGCGGTAGGCTTCATGAAAGGGTGCTGGACGATAGGGCGGGGAGGTGTTTTCGGTTGTGGGGGGGAGGAGGGGGTGCAGGGTCCTCGGTGCTCCGTTCTCTGGACGACTGATAGGGAGGACGTCCAATTCTAGCTCCAGGGACTTTTTTGGTTAGGGTTTGGGGTGGAGGATTTAGGGCTATGGGCGGCTTTTTGTGACCCCAAGTGGCCCCAGAAATTCAGAACACCTAAGCCCCTAAACCCCGTAGAGTTTCGGGCTTAGGGCCTAGAGTTTAGTGAGGGCTTAGGGTTCCTGACCCCACGCGGATGCATAAGCCAAAGCCTAAGTCGGGAGGTGCCCCAGTTCCTGAAAGTGGCGGACAACGTCCCCTACACGGAGGGCACCTGCACCTCGGCTCTCTTTGTTTCCCCATACATACTTGTTGACTACAGATGATATTGAAATAAATGTACATGGATGTATCTTTAGCCTCGAATATTCCCAGAGCGACACCTGCAGACATCAGGCGTGGAGAGCTGATGCTAAAACCCTGCAAAGCGAAGGGAACACTTAAAAAAGCGACACCCTTCATGTTGCGTCCATTAGCACCGCCAGCCGGTGTTGGCAGTTGCTCATATGTATATATATATATATATAGTGTGTTTATTTATTTATTTATTCACCACCTTCGGTGAGGGGTTGTTAGATTTTAAACTCAACTCTTCTCCTCGCCCGGAACTCTCCTCCTCGCCCGGAACTCTTGTCCTCGCCCGGTCTACTCCGAGAGACTCCCTGGAGTGCCCAACCCCAGAAACTCCCTGGAGTCAACCTCAGAGACTCCCTGAAGTGCCCAATTTGGAGACTGGAGTCCCCAACCCAAGACTGCTGGAGTGCCCAACCCCAACCTCGTGGAGTGCCCAACCCAGAGATTTTTTGGAGTGCCCAACCCCAGAGTCTCCCTGAAGTGCCCAACCCAGATACTCCCTGGAGTGCCCAACCCTGGAGTGCCCAACCGAGAGAGTTTTTTGGAGTGCCCAACCCCAGAAATTCTCGCTGCCCAATCCCAGAGTCTCCCTGGAGTGCCCAACTCCGCCCAGAGGCGTGCCCAACCTCAGAGTCTCCCTGAGTGCCCAACCCAGACACTCCTGGAGTGCAACCCCAGAGTCTCCCTCAATTGCCCAACCCCAGTGACTCCCTGAAATGCCCAACCCCAATCCAAATCCCTAAGGTGGGGATGTTCGACGTAAAATAATTTTTGTTTATTTATTTATGTATTTATTTATTTATATCTTTATTTATATGTTTATTTATTTATTTGTTTGTTTATTTATTTATATATGTGTGTGTACTGTTTACACATGATACTCATGTATTCAGGGTGCCGTGCTCGGATCCAAGTGCAGGCCTTACGACGCAGGGCGTCGAGAACCGCTTCCTGTGGCTGGTTTTATCGGGATCCCTGCGGCTTGGCTTTCAGGGTTTAGGGTTTAGGGTTTAGGGTTTTTAGGGTTTAGGGTTTTAGGGTTTAGGGTTTAGGGTTTAGGGTTTTAGGGTTTAGGGTTTAGGGTTTAGGGTTTTAGGGTTTAGGGTTTAGGGTTTTAGGGTTTTAGGGTTTAGGGTTTAGGGTTCAGTCGTTTGCGGCAATCCAGTTGCGTGACTGCCCCAAGTGCGATTCCCCGGTGTGGGCACTCCCAGATGTATGCTGCTACCATGCAAAACCCCTGGGCCCGCAGAAGCCTCAGGTGGCTCAGGTGCAGGTGATGCAGTTACCAGGAAGCATAAACATCTCGCGTAAAATCTACGTCCTCCCGAGGCACAGCCCAAATTGTTACCATGAGTTTCGAAACTTCCTGTCCCCTTACCCTCACCCGTTCCTTATGAAAGGCCCTCGATGATAAGGTGTTTTGGGTCGAATGGAACCCTCGCTATACCCAACCCCAAACCCGAAGCCCTAAACCCTAACCCTAACCCTAAACCCTAAACCCTAAACCCTAGACCCTAGACCCTAGACCCTCCCAAGCCCCGGGGTACCAACAAGGAGTGTCAACGTCAATGGCCAGACGGTAGCTCAGCTGTCCGAGGGTGCCTTGATCGGCGAGGCTGGCGTGCCCTTGTGTGGGTTTAGGGTGTAGGGTTTAGGGTTTAGGGTTTAGGGTTTACGGTCTGGGGTTTTGGTATCAGGGATTAGGGGGAAGGAGGGGAGGGTTGCCCATCCCACAATGCCCCAAGTTGAAGGTCCGAACATCTGAAAGCCGAACCCCGCGACCTTGAAAGTTGCGAAGACGGATGCCGTGAATCAGAAACTCCATTGGGTCCGGAACTTCCTATGTCCATAATCCTTAGGTGCACTAAGCACTCTTTAACCACCTCTTACCTTCTTACACCTCGAAGCCCGATACCCCGGCAAATTCCATCTGGGGTGTGCAAGGTGACTGTCAGGACTGCCACCGGCCCAAAATCCCCCTCTTGGGGTTTAGAGAGCACCCCTCGCCCTCGCCTCCACCCTCAAAAAATGAACCAAACCCTAAACCCTAAACCCTGAACCCGAAACCCTAAACCCTAAACCCTAAACCCTAAACCCTCGTGGAGGCCACCTTCCTGGGCTTTGCTGAAGAGAGCCTTGCCTCGGCTACAGTACGTGTGGATGAGGCGGAGGCGAGCTGTCCGAGGGTCCGGGGGTTTTGGGGGTTTTGGGGTTTGAAAGCGCTTTTGGGCATGTAGGAGCCGCACGAGTGCCAAGGTCCCTCCTTAACAGCCCCTGTGCAGTTCTCATCTTACGTACTTGAAGCTCCTATTGAAGCTAAATGGCCACTGCATTACAAGGTTCAGGGGTTAGCTTCGCGTTCAGGAAAGCGGGGGTGTGGCGGGGGGGCGGGGTTCTCCACTACGGGGCCGCAAGGTTTCCACTCATGGGTCGTTGGATTCCGAGGTAGCGGGATTAGTGCCCTAAACCCCCTAAACTTCCTAAACCCTAAACCCTTTACACCCGAAGCCCTAAGCCCTAAACCCTAAACCCTAAACCCTGCTTCTGCCCTTGCGCCAGGGCGTGCAGACGCTGCGCTGGTCGCAGGAGCACCGAACGGGTCCGACTTGTTGGGGGTAAGGCCTGTGGTTCGGGGTTTAGGGCTCCAGCCGGAAGTCTACCACCAGGATCAGATGCAGGAACAGGGCGACTGCATCTCGCAATGGACGGGGGGATTTCTGGTGCTTTGGGGTGCGCACCATGGCGACTTTGCTTGGAAGGGCTTGAGGCACCCTCAAGAAGTCCACCCAAAGCTATGAGCTGCTCCAAGCTCTTGGGAGTGCTTTTGAGAGTTCGGGGTTCAGGGCTTCGTGCAGGACAGCCTGCGATCGCTGTTGGTGGAAGACTCCGGGCTTCGAGACAAGCTAATGCCTGCATTTTCTGACGAGCTCCTGCGGCGAATGCGAGGGCAAGAGCACACAAACCGGTCCCCAACTTTGCCGGGTTTGGTCTGCCTCAAGCCGTCAACTCGGAGCCCTAAGCACCTGTTAGGGTTTGGGGTTCAGGGTGCTTCTGAGAGAAGGGCTTTTCGTCTGCCCTCAGGGTATGCACCCGCCAACCGAGAGTTTCGGGCTGATGGATAGCCCGAAGCCCCCCAAATTTGGCCTTGTACCTTGAAGCCAAATCACTATGAGCTTCTGTCGAGGACGCTGCAGCGTCTGTCCTTCAGACCTGTTCTTATTGTTCAGGTTTGCTCGGCCTCATAAGGTCATGACTTGAGTGGCTGGAGGCTTACATCGGTTGATCCGCAGCTGTGATGGATCTTTCGCACACCATGTGGCAGGTCGTCACTTGCCGCCAGACACCAAACAGCCTGAGAAGCTACCCATACCCAAGCCCAAACCCCTACAAGTCCTGAAAGCACCCTGAGCTCCGTGAAGACCACGAGCCCAAGCATCAACGTCACAACATCTGTTGCAAGATCGAAGAGCCCCTCCTCCCATGTTTTTGAAACGAAGCAAGAATCTTGTAGTGTTTAGGGTTTAGGGACTAGGATTTATAATTTACTTTTCGGGTTTAGGGAGGCCAAGCTTGACTTTAAAAGTCCACACCCTCAGCCCCAAGCCATTGCAAAGCCCTAGCTAAGCAACTCTCCGAGAGCGCCGCCATGGGCGTCTACCAAACGCCACGCCGTGCTACCACGGGACTTGATGGATGAAGGCACATTTGGTATAGGATCAACCGTTTTGGTGATTCGGAGGTAGCTTTATGTATCAAATGCGTGCATGCAGTGAATTTTGCAATTTTGGAATGCTTAGCTGAACAACTGTGAGTTTCGGAATCTTGGAATCCGGGGCTGAACAGTTTTGGAGTCTTAGCGCATTTGGTACATGTTCATTTATCATAGCCCCATAAGCCCTGAAACCTTAAACCCTACATGTGCATATACCTGAAACCTTAAACCCTACATGTGCATATACAATATGTGTACATATGTAAATAGACATGCGCATGTTGAAGAAAGAGAACTGTAGACATTGGCTGAACCCGAAGTAAACGACGGAGTCAACCAAAATGCAGCTGCAGGGAGGAAAGCGGCCACGTTGCTCATGAGCGAAGCTGCGCAAAGCAAAATCAAAGGATGTCAAGGGGCAACATCTCCTTAGCTGATGCACCGAAGTGCCTAAGGACCTTAGCTGTACAGAAGTCCTGAAAAGATCATCCCTGGGATGACCAAAGACGAATCAATCTGTCTTTCTAGACATGTACTTCAAAAATGACACGCATATGTGTGTGAGTTAGGCAGCCCTGAGGGAGCTTTAGAGGGCAGACCATCACCAGACAGGGGCAGTAGGGTAGTACGGATCCCACGAAGGTTGATGGCTTAAGGTCGTATAGGGATTGCAGGTGGTGTAGACAGCTCAGAAGCACGGAGACTCTGTGGCCGAGCAGAACATGCCCAGAGCATCATATGGTCGGGTCTGTAGATTTTGGTCCCTGTCATTCTGTGGCCCTTTTTGCTTGGGGTACCCGAAGGGGGCCACAATCAATGTGGGCAATGAACTATATTGGTCACGGACCGCGAGCTACCTGAATTATTGTGTCAGTGTTTAGGGTTAGGGAAAGTTTAGGGGGTTTACCACCTGACACTCTGTTTACCTACAGTTTAGTAGTTTTTCCCTTAAGTAGTAGGTATACCCCAGAACACTGCAGGCAAAGAGGGTCCCAGGTAGAGTTTAGGTATAGGGAAAGTTGGTGAGGGCAGCAGGAGCCCTGACTTCCATCTTGATGCTGGCATCCCAGGCCTTCGAAGTCTGAAGCATAGGAAGAGTCTAGGTCAAAACCCTCAGCCCTAAACCCCAAAACCCTAAATCCCTAAACCCTAAACCCCAAACCCCCAAACCCCTAAACCCTAAACCCCTAAACCCCTAAACCCCTAAACCCCTAAACCCCTAAACCCCTAAACCCTGAACCCTAATCCCTCAACACTTGAAGGGTCTTGCTGCGCCCTCCAACAGGCGACGGGGATGGCATCGTTCTGCACGCCCGGAGCAGGGTCCTCAGAAAGTTTCGGGTTTTAGAGTCTATACCCTCAACCCTTATAGGGTTTAGGGTTTAGGGTTTAGGGTTTAGGGTTTAGGGTTTAGGGTGTAGGATAGATGAGTGATTCGCACGTGTGTTCTTTCTGTGACTGAAGGCCCTTTTTAAACCTTTAATGCCCCATTCTATACCATTTAATGTTGCAACATGGTATGTCCGCTTCTGTTGTATCATGGTATCTTGCGATGCAAAAGACGCCACCTCATGTTACATACATCTCCAACGTTGCTCTGCACCGTGCGGATGCCGAGGCTCTCCGGGTAACGGCTTCCTGCCCCTGCAGCTGAACGGGGCTCCTGTGGAATTCGAGTGCGACAACTTCGTCGGAAGGCGGGATGGAAGACCGGTGGCTTCTTGACCCTCGAGGGTAACCCCTATATTATGCCGCTACCCCTAGACCCTAGACCCTAGACCCTAGACCCTAGACCCTAGACCCTAGACCCTAGATCCTAGATCCTAGACCCTGGACCCTGGACCCTAGACCCTAGACCCTGGACCCTAGACCCTAGACCCTAAACCCTAGACCCTAGACCCTAAACCCTAAACCCAAACTGTCCCTGATGCATGCGCACTTGTGAATCTAAGGCCTCTGCTGGGGCAGGGAGGGGGGATCTCAATCTTTGCGGGGAGGGGGATGGACGCTCACCATCTCTGTATCATGTCTCTCAAAACGCCGAACCCTACCCTAAACTCTGAAACCTAAAACCTGAGCCCTAAACCCTAAACCCTCAAAACGCCGAACCCTACCCTAAACTCTGAACCCTAAAGCCTGAACCCTAAACCCTAAACCCTATCCCCTAAGCGCTAACACCAAAGGGCGATTCGGGGTATCGAGGCCTGGGTCAGGGTATGACGCTTTTTCATTTCTAGAGGTTACGGGGTTTATGGGGCTTAAGGGGCTTACCGGATTTGGGGTTTAGGGCTTCATGACCTTTTTACCCTCAATGCGCCCAAACTAAGGGGTTCCTAGCGTAGGGCTGTTTCCACCTTCCCCTCCTCACTCCGGACAGGTGCGTACTTCTGCACAGGCAGGGGGTTGAGCTTTGCCGGGGAGCACTTTAGGGTTCGCAGGGTTTAGGGTGCCCCAGGCAAGAATCCCGAAATTCCTCACCCCGTCCCCTCCAAAAAAGAAGTTGAAGCTTACGTGGGCTTCGGCTTTCTTGGAGTTCCGGGCTTCTCGGCCTAGGGTTCTTCAAGGCTTTACTTGGAAGAGCAGCCCTAAAGCATAACCACGAACGTCTACCCACCCACCCCCACCCCCATGTCAGCCCCATGCACACTCCAGAAGGCAGAAAACCTTACTCAAGCATCTACACCACAAACCCCAAACCCTAAACCCTAATCCCAAATCCCTAAACCCTAAGCCCTATAAACCCTAAACCCTATACCCTATACCCTTTAGACCCTAAACTCTTCTAAGACCCATCAAGATGCCCCAAAAAAGGGTCCTCTGGGCCAGGCCCGTCTGGAGCTACGATGATGCCGAGCCCGCCGACATGTCCAAGGCTGAAGCTGTTTCAGGGTTTAGGGTTTAGGGTTTAGGCGTGTGAGGTTAAGGGGTGTAAGGTTGAGGGTTTTAGGGGTTAGGGTTTAGGGGTGCAAGGTTTTGAGTTTTAGTGTTTAGGGTTTAGGGTGTCAGGTTTAGGGTTCTAGGGTTTTAATTTGCGCATGCAAAGGTACAGGACATACCCGATGCAACCAAATGGCGCTAAGCCCGACATAAGCCCTAAAATCCCAACATCCTTTCAAGAAGCTGGGGCACGTCAGAAACGGCAACATCGCAAGCTTCGTGTTCAGGGGTTTGGTGTTTGGGGTTGGGGTTTAGGGTTTAGGGTTTAATTAGGGTTGAGGGTTTAGGGAAACGAAATTTCCATAAATGCCACGCGAGATGTTTTTCTGAGTCGTGAGGTTGTGGTAGTTGGGTGTGCTCAAGTTCCTTGACGCAAGCTCTCCTCAACAGCAACCCAGTTTGAGCCACGCCCCAGGAGATTAACAGCTCACTAACAATCATTCCTTTTCCAAACCCCAGAACCGTGAACCCTGAACCCCACATCCCCGAACCAAACACAGATCTAAAAGCCCGTGAGCCCCAAAACCCGAAACAAAACCCGAAACCCCTTCCCGACCCCTCCAAACCCTAAACCCTCGACCCTCAACCCTCAGCCCTCAGCCCTCAGCCCTCAGCCCTCAGCCCTCAACCCTCAACCCTCAACCCTTAACCCTCAGCCCTCAGCCCTCAACCCTCAACCCTCAACCCTCAAACCCAGCACCAGGCCCAGTATCCCTACAAAGAGCACTTCCATGGCCGGAAGCGGCTCTGGGAGTGGAGGATACAGGGGCGCTTCAAGCGGAGGCTGGAGGGAGACTGTTTTTGTTTTATGTTTGTTTTTGTTTTTTCTTGATGGTTTAGAGTTTCAGGTTTAGGGTCAAAGTGTCAATTGTTAAAGTGTGTTGGAGTGTTAAAGTGTTAAAGAGTTAAAGTGTTAAAGTGTTAAAGTGTTAAAGTGCACGAGCATGAGAGCGACCACGTGCAGTCCCCTTTTCCCTCTTGCGAAGTGACAGGCGCTGCGGCTTCAAACCAAAGCGTGCAACATACAAACTCAGGTGCCTTCTTGAGACACAGAGTGTAGGGGCGGGTTCTATCTCTCCGTAGCATCTGAACAGCGACTCCGTGCTCAGTTCTAACCCAGATGCTTAAGTTCGGAAAGGCCTTCCTCGCGACGCTACGCTCGAGAGCCCTTCCTTGCCCAACCCCCAAACACGCAGCGCGCGCGGCGCGCGCAACGCGACGGGAGGCCTGGCCTGCTGTACACCGGCGTGGAGCTCGAGTCGCAATCGGGCCGCAGACTTCCGGGATGTCCACTTGAAGTTTTAGTGTTTAGGGTTTAGGGTTGCTGCAGATCCACCAAGCAGCCTCAGCCCTCAAATCGCTCTCTAAATCCTCCAGCCCTTTCGGCCCAACGGCCTAAACCCTCAAACCCAAAAACTTCTGCTCTCAGCTCTGCCCCCGTTCCAAGGTACGTGCCAGTGAATTTCGCGACGC